CTATCAATCTCTAATAAAAGATAATTTGCAAATAACAGTTTCATCGATTTGTCCTTTTTGGCGCTCCTTTAATGCTCTTCTTCAAATCTACACTATATTGCCAAAAGTATTGGGACACCCCTCCAAATCATTGGATTGAGGTGTTCCAATCACCCCCATGGCCACAGGTGTATAAAATAAAGCACCTCGGCATGCAGACACTTCTACAGACATTTGTGAAAGAATGGGTCATTCTCAGCTCAGTGGATTCGAGCGTGGTACCCGATAGGTTGCCACCTGTGCAATAAGTCCATCCATGACATTTCCTTGTCACTAAATATTCCGCGGTCACCTGTTACTGGTATTATAACAAAGTGGAAGCAACTGGGAACAACAGCGACTCAGCCAGGAAGTGGTAGGCCACGTAAGATGACAGAGCGGGGTCAGTGCATGCTGAAGCACACAAGTCGCCAACTGTCTGCAGAGTCAATAGCTACAGACCTCCAAACTTCGTGTGGCCTTCAGATTGGCACAACAACAGTGCGTAGAGAGCTTCATGGAATGGGTTTCCATAGCCGAGAAGCTGCAGCTCCGCCCCTTAGTTCCAGTGAAGGGAACTCTTAAGGCATCAGCATACCAAGACATTTTGGACAATTTCATGCTCCCAACTTTGTGGGAGCAGTTTGGGGATCGTTGTATATAGATGTAACCAGCACTCCAAATACGACAGAATACGTCAAAGTTGTAGTGAATCTTCATTTTATACCGACGCCTTCACAGAAGAGTTGAAGCTGTTATAGCGGCAAAGGGCGGAACCAACTCAATATTGAACCCTATGGACTAAGACTGGGATGCCATTAAAGTTCATGTGCGTGTAAAGGCCGGCGTCCCAATACTTTCGGCAATATAGTGTATCTCAGGGCTCTGTATGGCTAGAGGTACTAGCAGCCTAAATTTTATACTGGCACTATAATCAGAACCTAAGAAGCAATGCAAATTGATCACCACTCACCCACACTAATGTTTCTTTTATCATGACAGGTTCACTTAGACCTTGATCACACAGGCAATGGATATTGAAGGCCATTCAGTACCTTTAATTACTTCACTAATGGCCACCCAAGAACGTCAATGTCTGACATGGACCAGATATTGGATAAAAAGCCTGAGTGGTTTGGGCATCAGATGCTTTTCTGAGTGACGGTGCATACTGTGTCATTCATCTACTTGCACTCAGAAATGCACAGAATGCCCCTTTAAAGCAATCATATAAAAAAAAAATTAAAAAGTCAATGCCTGCGCCTCAGCACTGTCCCATGGAGCCATAGCATAGAGTGTAGTTAAAGACAATACTGGCTACTGAGAGTAATTGCAGGCAACTTTTCCGAGGTGGTGGTGAGGATTGGAGTGGAACTTTAGGCACGTTTGGGCATCAAAGGGAGCTTCTCACCAGATGGGAGAGTAGGTTTGGCTTTTAGTTTATTGTATATGGTCAGATAACTTATACTGCCTTCTTATAATTCCATCAGATTACCCCCCTCTCCTGATGAAGCGCGATATATGCGCAAAACGCGTTGAATGTTCACTATCATCCACCCCTTATCTTCCAGCTAAGACTTTGTGAACTACTGACGCTATTTAATTCCATCATGTGTTCCAACTAATGTTATATGTGTCATATTTTCTATCAAGCTATATATCAATTAAGTTATCCCATATATACTCCAATCTGGAACTGAGTGGATGGAGTGAATATCGGGGGTTTCAATGTTTGTCTCTCCAGTTTTTTTATCATGGCCATTTCTTTTATCCATTAATTACTAAAATAATGTTTTTAGCCAATCTTTGATGCTTTTTGTGACTCGGCGATTTGGTGCCTTAAAAGCCCCACTTTACTCCACCTTCCTTTTTTGACTAAAATAGGGGTGTGACACCTAATACCCAGGATCTGACCACCAGTTGTCTTTTTTTTTTTATATGACAGGTTTGCTTTAAAGGAGAACTATGGGGTCAGGGCTTTTCCCCAGTTCTCCTTAGGGTAACGGGAGGACACAAACTAGCGTCCTCCCGTTACCCTAAGCTCAGTATACCGCGAGCTACAGCTCGCGGTATACTGAGAAGCCGCAGCAGATCCCCGACATCGATGTCGAGATCCGCCCAGCTGCGTGAGTGACAGCTGGCTCTGCCTATCTAGTCTGTCTGTTCCGCCAGTCAGCGCGGGGAATCCAGCCCCTCCCCTGTCACGGCAGAGAGCCGTGACAGGATCGAGAGGTGAGCGAACGCCGGTATATTTTCGCTCACCTCCCGATCTACTGAGCCGACCTGTGACAGTCTCATTGTCACAGGTCGGCAAGAACTATGAGGTGAGTGAAAAGCATCCCCCCTCATAGTTCTCCTTTAAAAAGGGACTAACCTATGACATCTTGAAGCAAGCACAGAAATGAAAAAAGAAGGTGATATAACTGCAGAGGTCACCATGTTTGCACTTTTCTTACCAGCCGTAGCACAAAAATATCAAACAGAGGGACTGTCACTAATAAAAAGGTAAATAACTAGGAGGGTTTAATTAAAATATGCATTTCAACAACATGTCATACTGGAAGGACATAAAGCAGATTTCAACAGTGGAGGCATCAGCAAAACTGGTAACACACCGCACGCCTCCGAACAGATAACTCTTCAGTAGCTCCGGCAAAGCACATGCTGTTCCTATCATTATGGACAATCATAAAGCAGACTTCATTTACAAGGTACCGATCTGAATGTTACCCAAGTGTATATTCTCCACCTGCAAGGTCTCAAACTGGATATCCTGCACACTTATGGCGCTGCCTTCGGGGAAAATTTCCACGGTCTCTATAATGGGAATGGTTTCTACAGTCTCTACTATAGCCACGGTGTTGGAGAGGTCCGAGGCGTGGGACCCGTGACCTGGCGGTGGTAGAGCCTGCTCGCGGTGAAGCTTCCTGTGCTTCCACAGGTTGGAGAACGAACGGTATGCCCGGCCGCATTCGGAGCAGGCGTGGGGCCGTTCGCCTGTATGAATACGCTTGTGCTCGGCTAGACGCACCGCGATGGTAAAAGCTTTGCCGCAAACATCGCATTTGAAGGGCTTCTCACCCGTGTGAAGGCGGATGTGGTCCTTGAGGTGGGTGGACTGTCGAAAGGCTTTGCCGCAAATTTGACAAGGGTAAGGTCGCTCCCCGGTGTGAATTCGGCGGTGAACTTGCAAAGACGTTTCCGTGCTGAAGGTCTTATGGCAGTCGGGGCACTCCAGGCTTCTGGAGCCTACTTTCGGTTTGCTCTGTGCCGGCGGGGGTTGCTTAACCTTGGCCAAGCACCCAGTGGCATTTCTACTTCCTGTGTGTTGGGCTGAAACGTGTGCATTGAGCCGGGCATCAGAATTCACTTTCTTGCCGCAAACTGGGCACTCTAATTTGTCTCCCGCTCCACTTCCAGTCCGGTTACAACGATGATCTTTTAAACGCTGAGAAGATGGGTAATTGGCACCGCAGTCTACACATCTGAAAGGCTCTTCGCCGCGGTGGCCAAGTTCGTGGACTTCCAGCAACCTCTTGAGCAGGAAAGATAGGCCACAAACTTGGCACTTGTACGGGTATTCCCCGGTATGGTGATACTGGTGCATGAGAAGGCGGTAGGGACGGTGAAAGCTAACACCGCACTCTGTGCATTTGTACGGGTAGGTCTGGCTGTGCACTACCAGATGCTGCTGGAGCGTCGAAGACTGGCTGAATGCCTTGCCACAGAGCTGGCACTTGTGCGGCTTCTCCCCGGTATGGGTAAGCTTGTGCCGCAGCAGATTAGCCTGAGCGTTGAATGATTTGCTGCAGACATTGCAAGAAAATGGCCGCTCCCCTGTATGAGTCAGCATGTGGTTGCGAAGATGGGAACGCTTTTTGAATGGTTTGCTGCAAGTTGGGCACTTGTGGCTTCTCTCCAGCGTGTGCACAAAACGTTGGTGGCGCAACAGCTGAGACATCAGAGGGAACGATTTACCGCAAGTGGAGCACAAAAAGCCCCCGACAGGGGTAAAGAAAGTGCAGTCCGATTTCTTTTCTTCCTCCTGCACGGGTTCCCGGGTTTTGGTGCTGTGCATTCGGCGGTGGTAAAGGAATTTCGTCATGTTGACGAACGTCTGGCCGCATTCACAGGAGTACAAAGGGTTGGCTTGGTGGGTCCGGCGATGATTGACCAGCACAGATTCGCTGGCGAAGCCCAGGCCGCAGTCCATGCAGAGAAAATGATGTTCACTTTGATGTGATTTAAGGTGCTCGCCTACCTCTGGGTGTGTAGGGAACACTTTACTGCATAGGGGACAGTTAAAGGGGCCAGACGTATAAGATAATAAATGAGTTTGAAGTTCTTTGTCACTCTTAAAAGATGCTTTGCATGAAGCACAAGACAATGTAACATCACTTGGAGCTGCTACTTGTTCCCCTTCTGGAGGAACCGGGACAACTTCGTTTACCTGTCTGAAATGGTCAGGGGGAGGAGCCTCGTTAACTAGCTGTTCGACCATTTGTGCAGTAGCCATAGGCTGAGCTGCCTCGTCTGACTGACCGCTAGCTTCTATGGAATTTCCCTGCCCTTGGAAATGGGTGGCTTGGTGCTCCAGGAACTCTCCAGGGCTTTGGAAAAGCTGAGTGCACTCGGAGCACTTATAAAACAAAACTTCGACCGCACACTCCTCTGTTACACCCTCACTCTTTTTATAGGAATGCTCCAGGTCCACCAACACTTGGGTATGGGAGACCCCAGCAGATGAAGAGGTTGGAACATGAAAATGCTGCTGACCAGCGACAAGGTGGACCTCACCAGGTGTAGAGGGGTCACACATGAGCTGTATCGAGTCATCCATAACGTGGTCCTCGGTTTGTAACAGCACCTTGGACTGTGGCACATTCTGGGGTTCCATGTGAGTGTATCTATGGGCCAGCCACATATCCTGGCTGTTGAACAAGGCTTTGCATTCCTGGCACTCATAGTGGATTTCACTGCGAGATGGCCGCTTGGCTTTCAGGCTTTCTGGCTTTGGAGGAGCGAGTAACCTAATATGCAGCTCCTGGTGGGCAAGCAAGTCGCTGGGAGTCAACAGCAGCTGCCCACATTCCAGGCATTGATACTGGCTCTCGTGGGAACCGAGATCCAGCACCTGATACTGGGTTTCTGGGGTGGCAGCTGGATGGCTTTGTTGGTGCACAACAGCATCTTCCAGGTTGGGGAAGTCCACTCCACACTCTGAGCACACATACCGGTGCTCTATGTAAAGGACGGTCTCTTCCGACTCAGTCATTGCAGCATCTTCGCTCATCCAGACCAGAAACTGCCAAAAAGAAAAGAAGTGTCAATGCAAGGCACCCACACAGGGTCACACACAAAACTACCGTATATACTCGAGTATAAGCAGAGATTTTCAGCCCATTTTTTTGGCTGAAAAGTGCCCCCCTCGGCTTATACTCGAGTCAGTGTCAGGTGTCTTCTTACTTACCTCGCCGAGCATCGCGTCACTGCTAATCATGTAGTGTTGTAGTCCTCCCAAAAGTAATACATCTCTTGAAGACTGTACTTAGCAGTTCTCTGTATTGTGTATCTGGGTCTGAGCATCTGCAGACATTACTCATCAGTTCTCTGTATTAAGTATCTGAGCATCTGGGAGACTACTCGTCAGTTCTCTGTATTGTGTATCTGGGTCAGAGCATCTGGAGACTACTCATCAGTTCTCTGTATTGTGTATCTGAGCATCTGGAGACTACTAGTCAGTTCTCTGTATTGTGTATCTGGGTCAGAGCATCTGCAGACACTACTCGTCAGTTCTCTGTATTGTGTATCTGGGTCAGAGCATCTGCAGACACTACTCGTCAGTTCTCTGTATTGTGTATCTGGGTCAGAGCATCTGCAGACACTACTCGTCAGTTCTCTGTATTGTGTATCTGGGTCAGAGCATCTGCAGACACTACTCGTCAGTTCTCTGTATTGTGTATCTGGGTCAGAGCATCTGGAGACTACTCAGTTCTCTCTATTGTGTATCTGGGTCTGTGGTCATTATGGGGCATTAACACTCTCCCTGATGGATTTTCTTTTTTGATATTATGGAGAAAGCAACATGAAAATCTGAAACACGCAATGTGGGTGGGAATAACCAAGACTCCCAAGGTGGGCAGGCAATCCGAAGTGTGTCAGGGAGATCTTGCAGCAGCCAACGCGACGCATCGGACCCATGGAAGCGACAGGTGGTTCTCATTTTTGGGTGCCTGTAACTGTAAAATCACTGCCCCAGTGGGGCGAATAGTAAGGGTTCATCCACATCACCATGTTGCTGTAAGACATGGCAGTGCACCAAACAGGGGCAATGCATTGGGGTATAAGTCTATGCATTGTAAATGAGCTGCCTAATGTAACGCATGAATGCACGTACATTGGAGTGCACTGCGTTCTGGTGTGAATGGGCCCCAAGTACAGACATATTAATTCAGCAAATTCAGTTAACATAAATCAATTATGGCAGGAAAATTTAAAGCTGAAGTGTAGTGCATGCATAAAATACCTTCCTGGTTCCCCCCTGCCTCCTGATCAATATGTAATTAATTGTTTTTCAATCAAATTATTAAAAAATAACCAATTTGAGACTAAATAATGTGATCACTGGGTGTGTCTGCTGCACTTTGCTTTGGTGGAATACATCCCTGGGATTCCTTCAGATGTGCCTGCTCCCCGCTCGAGAGAGAAGGAGGCAGAAGTGATTGATGAATGATGGAGGTCATTTAGACAGGAATTGAAGGCAGGCTCAAGATAGCCGATGCATTTTCAGAGAGAAGAGAAAGAGACAAAGAGAAAGAAGAGGAGAGAGAGAGAGAAGAGAAAGAGACAAAGAGAAAGAAGAGGAGAGAGAGAGAGAGAGAGAGAGAGAGAGAGAAAGAGAAGAGAAAGAGACAAAGAGAGGAGAGAAAGAGAGAAACAGAAGGAGAGGAGAGAGAGAGAGAGCGAGAAGGCTGAAGTGATTGATGAATGATGGAGGTCATTTAGACGGGAATTGAAGGCAGGCTCAAGATAGCCGATGCATTTTCAAATGGTTATATTGTGGAGATGCAAGTTTACCGTTCCGGTCCAGTGCGATCTGAAAAATATAGTGCCTGGAGCATTTTTTCCCCCCCGAGCGCACTGGACCAGAACGCAGGCATTGTTTTGCCACGCGTTCTGGTGCGGGTGATCGCACTGTGGGCGGGGGCGTGGCTGTGGTGCCATTGACTTCAAAACACCCCCTACCCTGAACGCAGAAAGCCGGCCGAGATGGGCTCAAGCAGCGCATCGTGCTGGAACGCACCGGAGCTAGTGTTAATCAGGCAGAGGGGTGGATCTCGACAGTAGTGTCGGGATCTGTCGCGGCTGCATCACTCAGTATATAGCAAGCAATAGCTCACTATATACTGAGCTTTGGGTCACAGGGGGACCTCAGTATATGTCCTCCCGTGACCCTAAAGAGAACTAAGGGATAAAAAGGTTACCCAATAGTCCTTTTAGACCAGCAATCCCATTCATTTCAATGGCCCTTGTTCAAACCGGAGTGTTTTGTCACTTAAAAGGTAAGCGCAACAAAACGCATCAAGACAAGGAATCCCATTCATTTCTATGGCCCGTTCACACCTCAACGTTTTGTCGCACAAAGTTTCCCATTGAAGTCTATGGAACCAAAAAGCAGCTTGTGTACTTTCCAGTGACGGGCTTTTTCTCCGCTTGTGACAAAACACTCAGCTGTGAACAAGGGCCATAAAAATTAATGGGCCTCCTTGTCTTGATGCGTTGTGTTGAGCTTACCTTTGAGGGACAAAATGCCTAGGTGTGAAAGGGGATTTCGTTTAAAGGGGAAAGTCTCCCATTCGGCCCATGTTTGCCTAAACAGGCCGGATCCAGATTTTAAAATGAAACTTTTTGTTTTTTCAACACACCAAATGCTTATTAAACATCTTTCACCTCTAGCCTAAACAGACATGAGAGCATCACCTACCTGACTTCACACCGAGCGGATGAAGGAGGCTTTAGATGTGTTCATGGAAGTAACCTACAAGAGTAGAACGTTACATTAGATCTATAATAATAAATCGGTGACGTCCGAGTGTCCTGACACCAGCACAAGGAATCTACCAAATATGACAGATGGCAACAAAAATGATCAAATGGGTGAATACAACCTCATCACTGCCCCTGCCATATAGATACAGAAACGCTTAAAGAACTCCGGGTAGAATATAAAAAAACGTAACACTTCCAGTCGGGCTATCCCAGCATTGCAAGGGTTAAGTGCTCCTTTTGGTCTGGGGACCTTGCAAGCTTTCTTGGGGACACTTACAAAGCCATCCACAACTCTGTCCCCGGCCATATCTCAAACCTTGTCTAAGTATCACTAACCGTCCCCTCTTCACAAGACCTCCTGCTTTCCAGCTCCCTCATGAACTCCTCCCCATGCTCACCTCCAGGACTTCACTAGAATCTCTCCCATCCTATGGAACTCTCTACCCCAACCTGTCCGTCTATCTCCCAGTCTGACTGCCTTTAAGCGATCCCTTAAGACTCATCTCTTCAGGGAAGCCTATCCCACCTCAACCTAACAACTCAACCATCACATTCTCAAACAATTCAGCCCCACACAGCTACCTCCTCATGCATCACTTGCCCCTCCCTTTTAGATTGTAAGCCCTCAGGGGCGGGGCCCTCCTTACCATCTTGTCTTGAATTGTGATTGTAATGTCTTCCTTATATTGTAAAGCGCTGCGCAAACTGTTGCCTCTATAATACCTGTAGAATAATAACCACGTGGCTCCCATTTACAGCGCTTCCGCCAGCCCGCACATTTCCCCTTCCCCCCGGAGCACAGAGTACGGGGCAGCAAAACTGCTCCTAAACAGCATGGCTACTTTAGAAATATTGCCTGCCTTTTTTGTCCTGGGCTTTATTCTGCATAATGTATTGCTGGGATTTGTAGTCCTCTATAGCTGATTGTATTATTCTGCATTGCTGGGATTTGTAGTCCTCTATAGCTGGTGTTATTATTCTACATTGATGTATAGTGTATTGCTGGGATTTTTTGTCTTCTATAGCTGATGGTATTATTCTGCATTGCTGGGATTTGTAGTCCTCTATAGCTGGTGTTATTATTCTACATTGATGTATAGTGTACTGCTGAGATGTGTAGTCCTCTATAGCTGGGGGTATTATTCTGCATTGCTGTATAGTGTATTGCTAGGATTTGTAGTCCCTCTACAGGTTGGAGCCAGTGGCAAAACAACCAGTGGCGAGCACCTGCAGCTGGGACTGGCCCTGCACCACTGTCCTAAAATCATTTGTCTGTATTGTTTTAGAAAAACGGTCACATGGCACTAAAAAAAGTTATCAGTAATTAGTATCGGTGAGTAGTTGTGGAAAAGCATCGGTACTCGTACCCGAAAAATATTATCGGTGCATCTGACACTGGCTTCACTACCCAGTCAGTCACTGACCTGGAACAAGAATGCAGAACACAACTTCAGATGTTTCATACTTTACTAGCTGCACGCTTGTTCCAGGGACTCACTATGTAGTAAAACTAGACAGAGGATGGCTGTCTCCAACACTTCTGGCAGCCGTTCGATTTCTGTTCCAATAGGTTCCCTTTACTATAGAAGAACTGAGCATCCAGATCTGGCCACACACTACACCATGTAATTGTACAATCAGATTTTAGATTGCAAGCTCCTAATCCTCTTGTATTGTAACTCTGCCAATCTCCTTTATATTGTAAAGCTCTGTGCAAACTGTGGGCGCCATACACATCCTGCATTATAATAATAATAATAAATGTAGTGCGAAGGCCTACATAAGCATAAGTGACATTAAACCCTCAAGAGTTTTTAACATAAAACAATACTGTAATGTGCGCCTTACTGTAATCCATGGTTGTTTCCCTTCTCTTTGCTGCTCTTCCTTTTAAATCCTCATGTCTTCTCATGCTTGGGGAGAACTTCCCTTTGCAGCTGACTGCCTCTTCCTGTAGTGCTGGCTCAGGTTGCAAACCAACACACAGACACCATGTATCCATTCCAGAGACAAGGCAGTCTGCTGCAAAACAGAAGTTCTGCCCAACATGAGAACAGATACAGATTTAAAAGGAAGAGCAGCACAGAGAAGGGAAACAACCATGGATTACAGTAAGGCGCACATTACAGTATTGTTTTATGTTAAAAAATCTGAGGGTTTAATGTCACTTTAAAGCCAATCAGTCAGGCCCCTGAACAGCATAGTTGTTGCTAAACCAAAAGGAGATTGTAACATGCATCAGTGATCAGGTTTGCTTGAATGCCCCCATCCCCCTCCCCCTCAGTGCAAGTATCTGAGCAGTCCCTGTACTGGATCTGGAGTGTGAGAGGTAGGAGCAGTAAAGAGCCAACCAGTCATGTGATGACAAGGAGCATACTGTCAAGAGGAGAGAGCACAGTGACAGAGAAATGAGCTCATCACTGGGCTGCTTCTCCTTTCACTGTCAGGTCACAGACTGGGGGCGGGTCTAGGATGACCTGGGCTCAGAGGCAGTGGGATGAATGATGCCAGCCATCAGGCTGATGACATTTAGCGGCCCTCGCATACAATTTTGTGCACTGTATGTAATTATGTCAGAATGCACCCTCCAGCAAGAGCGCATCAAGGGGGGGGTCACACATATGAAGGGAGCCTATCGGTGGTTAATAAGGTAAATCACACAGCTCATGACAGATTCTCTTTAACAGAAAGCTGTCACATGAAAACCACCCAGGCTGCCATTACTGTCCTCCACCTAGCAGCCCCTCTGTCATGCCGATCCTTCATCTTTCATTCACTGCACGTTATATATGCGCCAAAGCACGAGACGACCCTACTGAGCCCAGAAATATACACAGGGGGCGGGAGGGGAGTAAAATGTCACAAAATGTCCCGCCCTAAATATAAGAATGGATATTGATCAGGCACGCACTGCACAGGCCTCACCATAGCACGTCACCCCAAGTGTGTGTACTCTCAATGACGTTTAGGGGCTCCCAACACAGGAGATCCCCCAATGCAATACATAAGGCAACCCCAAGTAATTCAAGGGACTGCCCCTTTAAATTGCTCGCAGACAGGTGTAAGCCAGCAAGCTCCCGGTGTAACTAAAGTGTCAGCTCTGCGGGCCACATGCCCGGCGTCCTCACCCGCTTCCCCGGTACACCTCCCCTTCTCACCTCCTCTTACCTACACACCGCGCCGCTTTCTGCACGCGATTAGAAGGCGGAAGCACACTGGCTAGCTGCGGACCAATCAGGAGCGCCCTTCTTCGGGGCGTTTATAGGAAGCGACGGCGGTAGCGTGACGTCCCTGCATCGCAGTCGATGCGCCATGTTTGTTGTGGGCAAGAGCTGCCTAAAAGTTTTCACCTTCTTCTTGCAGTGGCTGCGTGTTCCTGCAAACCCGCGGTGTTTTTTTTAAAATCTTTAACTTAATATTAAATGACAATGGAGATGTACTTAGTGTATCCATATATATATATAGATAGATAGATAGATGTGTATATATAGTACTTTTTTATTTTGGATAGATTGGATGAGGTTAAAACTGCGGTCAGGTTGTCCGTGCTTGTCTGTATCAACAGTGAGATCTCCCTTAACTTCCTGTGCTGTTCACGCAACAGGAAGTGAGAGTATATCTTTCCAACATGAGGGAGATCCATTGAGAACCATGTCACAGGAAAACATTTTTTACCAGTCTTTATTTCTGTGGCGTAACAACCGGGAAGGGGTGCGCTTGCCCCGGGCGCAGGACTGAGGGGGGGCGCCGTCACGACCTCCGCTAAATGAAGCCCCTGGCCA